TGGCCACTATTTCCGACTATGCACGCCGGATTCTGATCGACTACTTGGAGGCTCTCACACTAAAACCTTCACCGTAGCCGAATCTAGATTTTGGCTTCGCCAGCTACAGACTATTCCAAGGTCGTTGGAAACTAAGCAGGCCCTTGCCTGATTCTGAAACACGACATGGTTCCCTTATGTTCCGGCGTGGACTTGCCAACAACTTCTTTAGGAAATGCTGTTGACAGAGATCCGGGGGACCAACCCGGAAACCCCGAAGCCATGTTATAGTATATTATGCTGTATCATGCTGTACTATATTGTATAATAGTTGATGGTGGCAGATTATACTAGATTATACTATGTAACAGTACTTTATAGCATATTATGCTATATTCTACTATATAATAGTAGTTAATATAGCCTAACATATATTGTAGTTTATTATAAGGTAGCCTATGGAGGCCAGACTTGGGCCTTCCGACACATGTAAACTGGGGAGAAAGGGTGTTACTCGCATCGCGGACTCGGTATCCTGCTGCGGTTTAGGGTTTCCTTTTTAGGGTAGGTTCTTGATGAAGACGTCATCCGACATGACCGCTCAACAGAAAAACGCGAACGTTCGGCAGAAAACTTGCAGGTCTTTTTTCATGCGCATCATTGGATGGAGGTCTTCGCTGTGGAGCCAAATGTCCAGTTTTTCCGCGTACACGCCTTCTTCCTCCCTGAAAAACAAGAGGTAAAGAAATGGCGACTAGCGGGCCCATTCCTTTGCCTTCTACCCCGCGTGGAATGCTGGAGAGTCGTAGAGTTTCCTGGCTGCGCTGCCCTGTATCCAACATCACGGTGCTGCGATCAACTGGTTTTCTAGACTCTTTAGCCCAGATCATTGCAGACCCGGTGTCTTCGCAGTAGTGCCTAACTGCATTTGGGGTCCCCCCATTATGGACATTGTGTAGCTGTTGCGTCTTCGTCGTGTTGGTTCTCCCCACTGCCGCGCGGGCCCAGGGGCGAACCACGGTGTCCTCCAGCTGCCACCGACCAGCAGCAAAACTGTCTAAAAGCCAAGGTGTGTGTGAGAGAGAGAGGGAGCTTGGAAAGGCAATTCCTCCGCCTTAGGCCCCGCGAAGTCCTTTGCAGGGTTTAGGGGGTGGTAGAGTTTAGGTTTTGTAGTAGTCATTCGGTCCCACCTCAGGTCACACAAAGCTCTTAGGGTGTTCCACGGCCATCATCTGAGGGAAGCAGGGCACATTTGCAGGAATGGCGTCTACTACTATCCTCCACTGCCCCCCATGGCCCGTGGCAACGATCGTACCCTGATGCGACTCACCAAAATCCGAGGCCACGCGCAGAAACTAGGAATGAGAAAAGCATCAATTTGAAATTGGTATCTGTCGTCCCCAATGAGTTCCTGCCTGAAGCAGGCATGGTCTCATCCGACATGTCCGCTCAGCAGAAAAAACACGGATTTCCAAGGAAAATGGAAAACTTGAAGGTAGGATTTCACACCAATCATTCGGGGTCTTCGTTGACCGCTGCTTAAATGATGGGCCCATGGCCCCTGCCAACAGAACCCTCAACCCTAAACCCTGAAACCCTTAGCTGAATAGTCTCTGTCAACAGCTGCTCAATTTGGTCAGCTTGTGCTGTGCGGGTCGAAGCCTGCGCCAGCCACGCGGCTCAAGAGGAGATTCTGGCTCGACGGGCAGTTTTACAAAACCCTCCAGAGTTTTGAAAGGTTGGGTTTAGGGGTTCAATGTACAGGCTATACGTAAGGTTTTAATGCCGGAACCTGGTATCTCTTCATGTAGAGATACACTCATCATTCGAAAGTTCATGGGACAAAGTGTGGCACGTCATCTGGAGTGGATGACAAAGTATTCACTGTGATTATAACCGGGCTGTCAGCTACCCATGAACTCAAGTTTGCTTCAGCAATCGAGCGTTCGCCAGGCCTTTTTTGATGTCTGCGGGGAGTGCTTTAGACTGTCGAGGATGTGACATTTTACCTTGTGTAAGGTATTGTACTTAAGCATGCTAAGCACGATTGCTGAAGTCTTTCCAGCTCTACAAATTCAAAAGAAGCGCAAGGCACATGCTGGAGTGTTTGTATTTACATATTTGATAGCAATGGGAGGCACTGTAGCCTGTACAGTCGCGGTTGTGTTAGCTGTGTGCATTCGAAAGATTGCGTGCCTTGTCACTCTTCTACACATGTTTCTGGATGATGTGCCCCTTCCAGCAGAGCTTGCGGTGTCAGACACTCGGGCTCCTAAGCAAGGCACGGAGCAACCAGCACATGAAATTTTTATCAGCCGTGAGCAGAGGTCCAGCGACATCAGCTCTGAAAGTCCAGAGAGTCAGATACCCCATAGGATCATACACTACATGACACTATGATCCCTATATGATTTAGGGTCCGTTCCTCAATAAAGCAATATGGCTCCCTGGGATCACTGCACCGTGTGAATTTGCTTTGAGAACGCAGCGGCTAAATTCCTTTGTGAAGAAAAGTTCGGCCGGCACTAAAGCGTGAAAGAGAACCCTTCCCTGCGGAGAGACATAGGCACAGAGGGGGTTATGCATGGGTTTTTCTAAAGAAATGCACGGGTTAAGCGCCCATGTGCGTGCGTGTTTGCTGCCATGTGTATGCTTCTGCGCACACAGACCTCAGCACGCGGCGGCGATTCATTTTGGGGCATATTTCGTGTGATCTACTTGTCGCTACTTGTCGCGGCATATTGAGGAAGTTGTAAGCATATAACCATCGTAAGGCCTGCGTGCGCAGAAACCTACAGGTTTGCGTGAAGAAGTATGTTCGCAATTGCAAGCGCATGTGTGTTTGCACAAGGAGTATTACGAGTACTAATATTACTAGTAGGACTACTGATAGTACGTAGTAGTCAGTACTACTTGTACTAATACTACTAGTATCATTAGTCTTCGTGGTGTTGCAGTGGTGCCATTGTGCACCCCGGTCACGTTATACGGATTCTACCGTAGCTAGGGGTGCTTTTGGGGAAGTGCCATGTTCCAGCTGCTGGGAGGCTTTGATAGTGGTCATGGTGATGCTTGCACTGGCCATGGCCCCGTTGCTGCAAAGCTTGCATGAGATGAATCTTGAACATCTCGGGTTGCTGTTGAAAGGCTTACCATGATGTGGGGATATGGTAAATACTACATTTGGTTATGGCAACCTCCCCTTAGTTCTCTGACATCAACCCAGATATCAACAACCTGAGCAGCGCGCAGATCACAGCAGCATGAGCAACGGATATATAGCAGGCAGTAAAAATGATCATCCTGTCAGAAAACAACTGACTCAGGCCTACTTCTTCACGCAAACTGACGAGGGTAGAAAGGCGCACCCGCAGTGGCAATTTACTTACCTCTGGTTAGCTGGGAATGAAGGAATGGAAAAGAAAATGGAAACCACTATAATGGGTTATGTAGGGACTAGTATAAGGATCCAGTCCTCCATTCCTGGCCAACCAAAGGTAAGTTCGAGGTTTGGGTTTAGGGTCCAACCAATGCTCACATTCGATCATGACCTCTGGGCATTGCCAGGCTGTCAGGCTGGCTCCGGCTGAGTCATTAGTCATTCTGAGAAACCTGAAAGAAATAGGATGATAGCAACAAGCATAACATGAGATGCCAATGCTCCCCAATCCAAGCCCCAAATTAGGGAGTACTGGGGCCCACTGAAGGACTACTCTGGGCTACTGCTGTTGCATGCCAGACATGTCCCGGGGAGGCGTGGCACCGGATGAAGATGGCTATGCGAGACGGCAACCTGCTTAGCAATTCTGCTAAGGGCCTGGGTACTTGGAGGGTCAGGGGAACTTAGAGTCAGTTCATGACGAAATAACTGGGATTGTTCTGTTGTGCATGGGGGTTATAAGCAGGGGTGGATGTCACGCTTAGGGGTAGGGGCTCTGTTACGGGCCCTCAAAGTCAGGCCGGTAGTGAGAATAGTACAGAAGGCCCAGCCAGGATTCTGCGAAGTGGTGCAGCATTCTTTTCCGCAAGAGCTTGGAAATCTGTGAGCCTAGCTGCAAATGGCGGTTACGGGAAATTATGTTTACCTCATCCAGCACTGCTCCTACATGGGTTCGTGGGTCCTTCAGCCAAAGGAATACGCCAATGGGAGTCTCCAGACAGGAGAGTTTCTGTTATGAGGTCCCTGTGTTCATGTTCACGATACACCAATTTGGAGCGTCATCTTTCAGAGCTATGTTCTCCACACTGTTGGCTGCATTTGGCGAAAGATGAGCTTCTTCTCCCGCAGCAACAGACCACTGCCATTCCCTTGCCCACAAGAAGACTCCCAAATCAATGCTCTGCTATCATACTTGTCGGCGATTTGGCCTCAGGCCCCGGAACGGCCTTCCACCTGAAGAGTGCGAGACAGTGCAGAGTGAAGACCGGCACGGCCCAGGTAAACCTTTGCTGGAGAAGAAGGACTTAGAGATGCCTTTCCCTTACGACAATGAGGCAGGTGTGTCCTTGTGGCGTCGGCTGTTATTGGCACCTGGTATATCTTCCCTGTCAGGTGACGCTGTAAGGGCCGCACGTTAATGAAGGGGCATTGTCGTGCGGGCTCTGCGCCGACAGCGGCAATGCCCATCGTTATGCCAGGATGGTGCTTATAGGCACCCTGCGCAAAAGTAATTGTGCAGCTTGTTCTGGACAGGTGCATGACAGCAGTCAGTCGATCTCATGCCGTCTACGTACCATGCTCGCGCAGCGTCTCTCAGAATTCACGAGGATGAAAAGCTTGGGGTCATGTATCAGGCCCCTGTAAGAGAGCCCGAACACTGACAGGAAAGCGACACTAAACCTAGAAGTCCCTCAACAGAGGCGTCCCAGTATCAGCTTCCATCCGGATTGCATGGGGTGGCCCCAGGATAAGAGGCTGACATAAGTGCGAGGCCCCCAAAGTAAACCAAGGCTGGCTGCAAGGAACAGCCGCAGCAAAAGCAGTGCCAACTACAGTCCCATGCTGATTCTAGACAGTTGCCATGGCGTTGCTGCTCGAAAAGCTCAATGAAGCTTTTGTGGCAGACCCCTCGATAGACGAGCGTCTTGACCAAGCTGGGATGTGACTGTCCGTCCTAACATCTGGGTTCCGGGGTAGCAGAGCTTGTCGCGTAGAGCTGGCTATTCCGTTTCGAGATACCTCCGTACACTGCAAGGTATGCGCTAGTGCCCGCCGCGACACAGCAACTGTTTTCTCCCAGCGGACAGGAACAGCAGGACACACCAGCCAAAAGTCAAACAGCTGACAAAGGGACCGAGCGCATGTGCAGGATGTTGGCTGCATACATGCGGAGCACAAGCTGGCAATCTCTATCGAGGCAGTTGGCCAACCGACTCCAGGAGTGTGTGGCAGTTTCCCACCTTGGGAGGCTGCCCTGATACTCTACCTTCACGCCTACCAGGCACTTAGTCCCTATCGCTCTAGGACTTGATGTGTCACGGCCACGGGGTGCAAGGTCACGAAGCAGTCCGCAAAGGGCGGCTACCAAGCAACTCCGGCGGATGCTGTGCCGAAGCTGCATAAAGAGTGTAACGCATCCGACGGGAAATTAACGCAGACATGCAATGTCAAGCGCAAGTCCAGCAGCGGAAGACTTATGCTGAACGTTGACTGCTCAGTTGAGGACCTGGCGGAGAGAATACGGAAAAGCTCACGGGCTGTCTTGCTTTGCAGTGCAGACTGTACCAGTGGGCCTCTCAGAAATCTGTGTGTGGGCGTGTGGACAGTCATCCCTACCTGTAATTGATCTAGCATAGTACATGGGAATGTTACCGTACACTCTACTGTACGACTATGAAGTGGAAAACCACGAAGATGTGCGGTATCATACCATAACTTATCATAAGATATGGCTCTAAAAACTCTGCCATGGCAGGTGCCTGGAGCGCATGGAACCGGATGAGAGTCCTGACTGGCAGTCACGATGCCAAGGACAGATTGATTTCTGTGACGGTCACCGCAGCCAAGAGCAAAAGTCTGATAAATGCCGGCTTTACTGCTCTGCGACCATTCAGCTTGGAGGCTGACTTGCTCTTCAGCGCGCTGCTGTTGAGAACGAACCACAAAAGTGGCGCTCAGCTGAGCATTGCACATGTTGCTGCCACTTTAGGCGGTGGGTGGTTGTTGTAAGCAATGTCTCTGGGGATTCAAGTGAGGATCGAGAGAGTGTTTCGCTGAAGCGTTCTGTTCCACTTGGACAGGGACTATGGACGCCACACCCCTGCATAATCCTAAACCCGGACAGGTACGAAATTCTTGCATCATTCCTTATACGCAGGCTGATGGTCTCTTTAAAGGATTCTTCTGACGGAGTATGAGGTGTAGTTAAACTGGCTCATATGAGGAACGTGTGAAGCGACCATCGACCAGAGACAGATCATTCCCTAGCCCCCACTCCAAACAAAGCCTAAGTTCACCTTAACAAAAAAACTCTAAACTCCTCCTTGAGAAACAAAACTGCCCGGGAAAAAGCTCAGGTGAGACGTGGGCTCAGCGCCGGAAGCTTTTGGCCAGCGCTCTGCAGACATCCAAGGCTGCCAGCCTTTGTTTTAGGTTCTGAGAAGTAGGGGGCCCCATGGTTTGTTATTGAGGTTGGAGGGCCCGCTGTACCAGGACATAACTGCAATTCATGTCTACCTTGACGGCCCCCTTGCTTCATGAAATTGCCACTTGAAGCGCAGCAGCATCTAGATACTGCTCCCTGACGTGTGTTGATGAGATTTGAGGGTACTAAGCCGCTTTGAATTTGGGCTCACAAGCTTGGGATCAAGAATTGTCAAAAGCACCTGCCTAGTGCCTCCATACCGCTTGTATGATGCTAGCAATCCTCCACAATCCCCATTAATCCCTGTACAGTCCGAAACACTTTAATCAAACGCAAAATGTTTTATCATAATGGGGACAGACCAGCGTATACATACAAGCTCTAAAAGAGATCATCATTTTGAGAGCCAGCCACTCGAATGGGCAAAGCCTTACTTGGGTAGGGGGTTGCGGTCCCCAAATGGAGCAAGACTATCCTTTTGGTACTTGATAAGAAGAATGGAATATTTGATTCTTCGGTCAAGCACCCAAAAAATCATTACTCAGATGGTTTATAGTCTGAACTCCGTAAAGGGGGTTATATGGGGGAGCCTTATAGGGGTTAGGAAGGGGTATACTGCTGCGGATACGAAAAAATCCTGCGCGACCTTAACAATCTTAACATACTACAGTAATATACTTCCCAAGGTATAAGGTACTTAGTGTCATGCAGAACTGTTAGCATCCACTGTACACGCATCTGCGTCCTTACATACTTGGTTCATACGCTGCTTTTAGAGGGTTCTATAGGGGAGTATTATAGGTGAGTAAGGGGTGTACTAGGAGTTTAGACGATAACCCTTATAATCCCCTATATAACCCCAGTTTCGATTTCATGTTCCATGTTCTGTTACATTTGATTCTCCATTATAGGGGGATAATATACCCAAACCCTAAACCCTGAGCCTTCAACCCTAAATAATGGTTTCCATTTCATGTTCCATGTTCTTTTCCATTTGACTCTCCATTGTTAAGGTGTATACTAGGAGTTTAGACTATAGCTCAGATGCTGCCAGGATGATCAGCAGGCACTCCTGACCGAGGCCCTGCCTAGCAAAGAGAGATTGGGGTATCCCAAAGTAAGGAGTACCCTTAAAGAGGGTAACATATAGGGGTATATAGGGTACCCTTAAAGAGGGTTATATATAGGGGTATATAGGGTTTAGGGTTTCCCTAAAGTTAGGTGTGGTTTTTTTCGGAGTGGAGAAGTGCCCGAATGACGCGGCTTGGGCCACGAATCCCTAAACCCTCCCCAAACCTAGGGGGGACCTCACAACCTCACCGCTTTGTAGTCTCCACATATCCGAGAATGATTCAGCGCCACCCAATACAGAGCCTAAAGAACATACAAGGATTTCAGAGCATTTGGGTATAATGCCCCAGTGATGGACAGTCAAATGGACGTGAGATGGAAGCTGGGGATATCAAGGAGTTGAAAGGTACCATATATTTACCCACATCGTGGTTAAAGATTCCATGCACACTCCTGCCCTAGAGTGCTTCAAGCAGACCTTACATATTGGCGATGTGTCAGGGCCCTGTAATTAGTGTTTTGCGAAGCCCCATTATGGACCACTATACAACCAATTATATGGTAGCTTCCATTTCATTTTCCATTATCCCTATAACCCCTCAATATTGCCTCAGTCCTCATGATTTTCCAGACGGCATCACCATACACCTTGGTTCAGGAGATCTCACTGTTGGAGGAGCTGGCCAGGAGGTCAGCGGGTTTAGGGGTTGGGGTCTTCTTCCTGGGGGTTAGTCGGGGATAAGGGAGTATATATAGGGTTTATATAAGGATTACATTCCCTTGTTCCCTACTGAGCACCAGTAAGTCTTAGGCTTGCAGCTTGTGGGTTTAGGGATTCATGGTTTAGGGGTTGAGGCTTCATCCTTGCGGCCAAACCCCATGACGCCGTCATGGTCCCTAATGGTCCGTAAGGGTGTCCTGTGTTGAGGAGGCCAAAGGCGCTAAGGAATGCAACCATCTAAGAAGCCAGAAAGGAAGTCAATACGGGTAGTATTTTTGGAGCAATGCTCATAGACCTCATGATTTTTTGCTGTAACATGCTGTAGTAGAAGCAGTGGTAGAAGACGCAGCGGTAGCAGCAGGAGCAGTGGTTGCAGCAATAGGTGCAAGAATCGCAGCCACCCAAATGTCAATGATGCCAACGTTCAAATCTCCTGAAAGGTATGACCATCACTACTACGCTTGGAATCACTGGGCATGGCACAGACCTCAGCCTACAGATGGGTCATACTGAGCTCCAAAATCACGTGACGTGGCAGAAGATACATGACTTTTGACTCCGCAAAAGAATCTGTTCACGCTTTATGGTTGCGGATTGGTTACGGTTGTCCTTGCCCTTTGGTGAGGGTGACCCACCAAGATGCGAAGTCTGCGAGGCTGAACCGCTATGCCACAAGCTTGTCAACTCATGCAGTGCAGTGCTCGGCTGCTGGTTGACAGGAAGCCTATCACCATCTGCATTCGAGCAATTGTTGCTGGCTTCTGAATTTATGCTTGCAAAGGAATGGCTGCTTGAAGTGAAGTTCCCAATGTTGGCCAGGTCCTTATGCCATTTAGCCCCTTGCAGCAGCAAGTCGAATATTTGCCATCTCATGCATGCCAGAGGCCTTCAAGACCCCGTCCCACTACGGTCTTTTCCATCACCGGCAGCTTGCCCCGACATGCAGCAATTGTTTTGTTCGTACACGGCCTTCTAGATGTAGCAGTCAGCTTGCTTAGGCTTGTGAGATTACAGCGGCTGCTTGAGAAGAACCAGCATGGAATCGAAGCCAGCTGCTTCAAAGAGGCCAGTTCCACAGCAATCCGTTGCTGGCTGGTGCCCAGATACAAGCATAGAGTTGAGCAGTTGAAGTTGAAGCAACAATCCAGATGCCTGCTACCACTAGCTGGCGCCTGACATGTAAAATACACGGACTGCAGCTGTGGCGCTGCTTTGCAAGGAATGGGACTTGGCTGGTAAACTGCTGGCCGCATTTCCACATCTCGAGGCCTCAGGACGATGATTGTTGTTGCCGTTCCAGCTGGCGCCATTACCATTGCGAATTTTCTTGTACCGTCCACACAAGGCAGCAGCAGCAGCAGCTGGAACAACAGCCGCTGCAGCCGTAGCAGCAGCAGCAGCAGCAGCGGCAGTATCAAGCACTACAAGTACGAGTGGACGTCAATCTTGATGCATGATTTTGATTATGATGATGGTGATGACGACAAGGTTGTTTGATGATGATGACAACCTAAACCCTGCTTTCCGCACTCCCCTATGATGGTGGTGGTGATGGTGGTGATGATGATGATGATGATCCGTGCCTAGGCCTAGACCCTGTATCCCCTTCTAATTTGGGGGCAATGTAGCCGTTGTAGTTGTAGCCCCCGATTCCCTGAAGCCTGGCAGTTTCTTGAGGCTCCCTGGGCCTTCCGCGCGCAGCTGGTGAGCCTTAAGCTGGAGCATGGCAAGGTGGCCATGATTTGGGGGTTTCTCAAAGAGGGGGGGTATAACGTAAAACAGTAACTGTGGGGGGGGATTGGATGATCACCTAGTTTAAACTCGAGATTTCAGATATTCGGGAAAATGTGGGACGGATTACGTGTGCACCCTTGACGTTAAGTGAATTCCTGCGCAATCTTGCATTGGCCCCGAACAGTCGCAGAATTCCGGAACAAGCAAAGCTCAAGCCCTGCGTGTTCCTCTTCAGAGGTTACACTTCCACTGAAACATACTCCTTGCCTTGAAGACCTCCACCCTACACCCTATCCTAAGATTTGATCTCTCGTGCAACTTCAACATCCTTTCCGTCCTACGTTGACTTGTACCACAGTGACCCGTAAACAAAGGGCCTTACTGGCTTCCCCCCCAAAAAAGGTCGTCTTCATATTCCTTTTAAGTACTACATTACATCCCTTGTTATAGGGACCCCCAACATGTTCCACAGCCATTCAGTTGTTTTGGGGCGACATTTCATGCTCTGCCAGGGACTCCACGACGCTGCTTCAGTTTGGAGGTCGGAGGTCGCTCAACGGCAAAAACAAATTCAGGCTGCACCATGCACTATGCGTAGGCAATTTCTTGTAGAGAGGGAGCATGAGGGATTCATGGGGAGTACGGTGCCTTCTTGCAGATTCAAGAAGAGCTTTGTGAGAAGAGCTGGGGGTTTCCTAAAATTAAGGGTTACCATTTTCGGGATCCCCATACTAAGGGCATATTATATTGGGGTCCCCCTATCTATGGAAACCACCAGCTCACGGGCCCTGGCAGAGGTGGCTGGAGCGGCGAGGTGGGACCCCCAGCACGAAGTTTTCAGAAAATCAAATCGAAGCCGAGATGAATTGATGCTTTACATAGCGTATTGTTCGGGAGGACAAGAGAGAGATTACCACTTAGTATCCCACGGTCTCTTGTTGCTAGCACTTGGGATAACACAAGTGTTTCGTAGCATGCCTACCACATAGAAATCTGCATAGTTACTTGCTCAGAGCGGTATAATTTTATTTTGTGGGGGAGGATACAAAAGTCGCTTGAGCTCATTTAGGAAGTCTCGGGATTCCTGAGAGATAACACAAAATCTGGGGGGGTGCAGTTTCCCACGATTTCAGGTACCACTTTGGGGGTTGCGAATATTGAGCATTATGGTATTTCGGTGTCTATATAGGGGTCCCCCAATTTATGATGGAAACTGCCATCTAGAAATCGTTAGGGTCATCGAAGAACTAAAGGGATTACAATGCAGGACACACCTCAAACCCTTCTCATCTCTCTGGCCCAAAATTCCGCGCTCGCCCATGCTCAGGCACATGGAATCGCCGCCAACCAGCAGGTGCTTGCATGACAAGGGTGGTTGTCAAAATTATGGCCCCTTTTTGGGTACCCTAGATATTAGGTGCCGTATTATAATAGGGATCCAAAAAGGGACCATAGTTTTGAGAACCACCCACAAAATTTCCTCTACCCAATCGCCCCCCTGTGTTGGGAAGATCGGATGCGTGTGCCAGTTTTACACTGAGGCTGACAAGCAGGGAATGGGGGGAATGGATCCCTGTGATTATCCCCATGTGAGCAAAAGCCTAAACCCCTATTATCCCCCCGAATTACCCCATAGTAGTCCCCTATACAACCCCTTTAAGGAGTTTAGACTATGGCTCAATTGGTTTCCTATCCTATTCCCCATAACCCATTGCTTTGTTGGAGAGTAACCACCAGCAGGCTAACCCTTCAACAACCCTGTGGACGCCCACCTCCGTGTCTACTTCGTTTCCCAAGTAATTTGACATTTGATTCTCAATAATTCCATGCCAAACATCAGTAAGTTGTGCATTGGGGTCAGGCTGGCCATGCAATTTCAGGTCCACGTGCTTCAGGACTGCAGAATAGATGGATGTGCGCCGAAATCAGGATCCCAGAATAGCTCGAGCTGGCAACATGTAGGCCGTCCCTAGAAAGCCCAGATTCGTAGGGCTGACGCATTTGCACCATGCCATGCAGGAGCTGTGTCTCTACATGCTGGAGGTTCCAGCTCCTGACCAGGCAGGGTGGAGGGGCCTTGGCTTCTTGCACTAGCTATATAATATGGGACTTGAGAGTACTATATTGGGAGCAGCACAACATTCCTTAGGGTTTGAAGATGGTTTAAGCATGTCGGGATTCAGCTTTGAGCTCTGCAACATGGCCACAAGTTGCACTTACAGACAGGCTACAGCCCTAAGCCCTAAAACCCTAAACCTCAAACCCTATGCCCTAAAACCTAAACCCTAAGCAGGATCTCGCCCTACAAGATGAAGCCCGATCTCTGCTGGAGAAGCTCAAGGCTTCCAAGGCCGCCACGCCATAATAATGGTAGTAAATAAAAGTAGTGCCCATAATGGGAATAATAATACTAATACCAGTAATACACCTACTAGTAGTAGTAGTAGTAGTAATAGTAATAGTAATAGTAATAGTAATAGTAGTAGTCGTCGTCGTAGTAGTAGTCGTGGCCATCATCGTCGTCATGATACTACTACTAGTAGTGGTAATAATAGTAGTATTAGTAATAGTAGTAGGGATACTAATAATCATCGGAGTAATAGTAGGAGTAATCATAGTAATAGTAACAATAGTATTAACAAAAAGTTGGATTTTGCTTATGAACCAAAATCATGGTCCCTTTTGCGGGTCCGTATATGGGGAGAGACCCTGTTTTTTGGGACCCCTTTTGACCTTGCCTCAAGATTGCGAAGCGTGTCTTCTTGGCAGCCATGAGGCAGCGCATCACTAGACGCAGGGGGGAACTGACTTGTCTGCAGGCTGCTTCAACTGCAGTGCTCCGTGGCATTGCAGCCGTATGGGGCCCAGTTCATGAGCCCTCTCACAGCTCAAGACCTTGGATTGTGTCAAGCGGCGGAAGCAAGAGCCGTGATGCTTGCTTGACACCAGTCTCACTAACTAACCTCGAGCAGTTCTGTGTCCTGAACCCAGCCATCAACTGGTCGTCCTCGAATCCTCTCAAGGACCTGGACGCTGCAGCGGCGTCTGCGAAGGCAGAAGCATTGTGCGCAAAATGCATGCTCGAGCGGAGGTAGGCCAATAGCTGGCAGAGTGTGACCATAGGCCTAGGCAATCTGAACAGAAAACAACTCAGAGGGGTGAGCGCGCAGCACATGGCTCTATGCAAGACATGGAGTTTCAAAGAATTCAGAACACATTCATAACATGTCCCGCCTTGGCTAGACGGTCACGTTTGGCACCTAGAGAAGCCGTAACCAGCATTTCCAACGAGGAAAATGCTAGACTGCAACGTTAAAAGGTGCAGCCGCACTTATTCATCCTAATTCCCTGAGCTGCCTTCGTGACCTTTTCACGCCATGGCGCTGGCTCAGAATATCGAGGACCTGAGCGGGTGCTCCCAGAAGCAGGGTCCCATTTTTGCATCCCCAACGTCAGATGCCGTTGTAGTTGCTATACCTCGTACAAAACGGCAGCGAGGCCGTTTCTGCCGAAGCCTGTATAGTGCCATCTACAACGCGTGCTTGGCAGGATCCCAAGTTTGAGGTGGTGCGAATCGGGAACTCTTTCTACAGGCAAATGAAAGGCTTGCGTTTGAAGACCCATGCCTCGGCCACAAGCTTTACAGGAAGCTCGTTGTGGACGAGAACCTGAAGTTCAAGTGCGAAGAGTCTGCCAGCGGCAAGTAGCCAAGAATTCTAAATCGTAACTTCAAGGGAGACATGCCAGGAATCGCCGGTACTACGAAGAGGATGAAGTGGAGGAGGAGGGAGAGCTGGACGAGCAGCTCGTGTACGAGGCACGGAGATTGTGGGCAGCAGGTCTAAAGAGCGGAGGTCATATAGTCCCCCTTAAGTAGATAGAATATGGGGTTTAGGGTTTAGGGTTTAGGGTATATTTTTGGGGTTATATAGGGATAATGGAAAAGAAAATGGAAACTACTATATAGGTGTGCAGGTGGATCCTGTGAGAATGGCCATGAAGACGTTCATTATTCGTTGCTGTTGCTAATTAGTAATCAGCAATTAGCAACTGTTAATTGCTAATTGCTAATTACTGATTACGAATTACTACTTGCAAAATACTAAAGACTTTACGAATTGCTATTTGCTAACTGCTCATTACTTCCTACTTGCTAATTACTATTACTGTTACTATGACTACTTGTACTATTGCTAATACTATTACTATTCACTGTTTACTGTTACTAATACTAATACTATTGCTATTTACTACTTGCTAGTTACTCTTACTGTCACTAGCACTATCACTATTACCACAAGTCAGTTGCCTCCAGCCGTGTTTGCCTGTCAGCAAAAGAGCAGCTGTGTTAGGGAGCATCAAACAACTGGGTGATAGGATTCCTTTGCAGGATTGGCTGCCATGAACGAGAGGAGGGATCTCCATTTTTCCGGCTGAGCTGCAAGCATTTGATGGCAGGGAGATGAGTGGGTCTTCCGAATGGAGATGCCTGCCATCTTCCACAGATTCATTGTGGGCTCCAGGGCACCTGCCTCAGTGCTGCACAGCAGCATGAGAGAAGAGCTTGTGTTGTGAGCAGCCACGCCTGTGGATTTCGCCAGTGATCACAAGTTTGGGGGAAGATCTCCTCTGACTGATCTGTTCAGGTAAACGCATGGCTCAAAGTGGGATCATTAGCAGTATTCTGGTGTAGTAGACCGTGGTCAGGCTTCTACGAATAGCTGATAAATGTGGTTCCAATGTGTTACCAACGCATAGAACTTATTTATCTTGAGAGCAGTGTTCCAGAAAGTTCGCCCCTTACCCGAAACCCGTTGTTCTACTAGCAGAAGGTTCCTCAAAATGTTTCCCCCAAAAAAGTCCCTAAACCATAATGAACACGCACCTCCTAAACCCTAACACCCGCCCCCGTGGAGAGTATTTAGGCCAGAAACAAGCAAAAGCTTGAGATGGAGCCAGGAGCTTGGCTTGTTGGTGGTTATGGTTGTGGGTTTAGGGTTTAGGGTTTAGGGGTGGCTGGAGAAATGGAACAGATGATGGAATCTATTATTGGATATTGCTTAATGCAAAGGATCATAGAAACTACTGTCTGAAAGATTCTTAATGGAAAAGGAAGTGTAAACTACAACGGTTATGTTACGTGCTTCTTTTGGTGTAAGGTAGGGGATGGAGAAGCGGATCCTAAACCGTAAACCCCTATAGTAGTCTTTATATGATCCTTCATGGTGACCTCTATTTGGGGTTTCCACAAATAGGGGGACCCCAACATAGACCCCAGAATACTACAAGCCTTGTCATTGGCTCCAAAGGGGTACCCGTAATTATGGGAAACCACATATCTCTACATGTCCCCTATGTACCACGCAAAATTTGGGGGTCATCAGGGTGTCCCTTTGTGTTCCATTTCATGTTCCATGTCCTTTTTCCATTTGATCCTCTATTATTGGGGGGGAAACATCCCTATGTACTTCCTCATGGTGACCTGTATATCCCTGATCTTCATTCCCTACTAAGTTGCTGACAAATCTGAAGCTAGCCTTTGAGGTCGGGATGCAAAATCGTGGTTCCCAAGCGCGAGGCACTGGCGGGCCGTCTTAGAATAGGTCTTTAGGGTTTATGGCACTTCAGCTATGATAATCTCAGGGGAACCTCGCACTACGGGTATAAGGACTACAAGGCGATATCGTAAGGTAGTCTGATGGGTACTTTTTGAAGATGGCCTCTTCAAAATCTTCAAGGGCATCCCTCTTTGTACTCCTATAGTGACTATGTGTACCGCTGCAAACCCAATGTGATAGAAGGCTTATGGATGAGATCGGAATATGATGCTAGGGCCATGTGGGGAGTAGGGACAAGTAAAACCGGCATTCTGTTCTACAACAACAGGGATTCTTACACTGTACGCAGACTGAAATGGGCTCGAAGGCAGCCATCCCGCGCGTTTAACTTTCAGAAGTCTAGTCCCCTGCGCATAACATTCCCTGCCGCATGATCAATTGTGCCCATCTAACCCCTGTATTCCTACGTACATCACCTTCCCAGCATCCCTGAAAAGCCGCCAAAGCAGAACACCTGTTCTGTGACCAGCAATGGCATCAATATCCTTCGCTAGGCTTCGCTAGGAACCCTACATCGCTACGTAGTCCCCAAAAAGCTGGGTTGCTGTTAGGGAGCTCAAACTAACTTACTATAGTAAGGAAGCCCTGTTATTTATTATTTACCCATATCATGATGACTTCCAATTAAGTTCCTTAACAGCAACCCAGAAAACACTTGCACCTGATCAGGAGATGGAGGATGCCGTTTATCTAAGAGCGCGGCAGAAAAGCAGCATCTACAGCTGCAAGGCATGGGTACTTCGAGCTCTATTCGTTGTGTGTTGGAGGTTTGGGCTTCAGGACGTGCAAGGTAGGTTAAGGATTGATGTTTCTAATCAGGAGACATAGTAAGCCTCAGGGTGGAGCTGAGGTAAGTATATAGGGAACATAGATCAATAGTCCGGTACCGCAAGCAGTCACAGACCTACAAGTACAGGAACCAAAGTTGAAGCAAAACATCCAAGCCCCCCACCCAACTGCAAAACCTTGTTGGCCTTCCCACGCCCCCCCAATCCTTCTTACCTATTCCCAAGAGGCCCAAAGCCGATTGCCTCTTCGGGTATCAGATCTTATGCCATCTTAACCGTGATTGTTATCAGCCACAAGGTTCACAAATTGGCAGTAATGAAGTCATGCTGCTACTTCTGTCATCATTGCCGCTGCTGACCTCTCCCCAGAAGCAGTGTCCAAGCAGACTAAGCCAAGCCAAGCCCAGCTAGCGTTATATAAAGATATAGCTACATGCTTCGTAATGTCCAAGTAGTTGGTGCCTGTGCCCCGAGGCGCTTATCGAGCTGCTGTGCGAAAAGGAGGAAGCCAAGCTAGAGGAGCTGATGGGCTGACAGCCTCATCCGCTCACAGAATCGTAGGGCGGTATACATGCTTGGCGGATAGATTTGTCAAGGGTTTTCCAAAACAGTGAGACTGCTACACAATCTGAGGAAGTGTGGAGGGGTTTAGAGGGAACCACAGGCCTCCATCCTGCGGATGACTATAGGGTAGAATTGAGAAGGATTCAGCGACACTGATGGCGAGGTGTGATATCAACAGTGTGTGACAAAAATCGGGAAAGCAGGGGTAGCCATGGGTAGCAATTAGAATAGACCCTTCACAGACCGTGATGATGGTCGAGTCTTACACGTTGAGAGAAACGACTCTTATGTCAGAATGCCAGGGAGGCCTCCAACTTGAAATTGCAGGAGCGGAGCACTAATTTATGCCGGGCATTTGGTGTCGGTCCTGCTTCTAGGTCTTCTGCTAGGTATGTTGGTAGTAGTAGTAGTAGTAGTAGCAATCGTAGTAATATTACTCAGATGCTGTTATTGTATAAAACAGCTGGGAGTAGTATATGTTTGGGAACAGCAGTGATGGCAAGGGCTAGAGCCAGTACACGATGAGTTTTAATGTACTAGGTAAATAGCAACCGAACGGCCCATACCTCACGACGACCACTCTCGCCGGCATAGGTCCAAGGCGCAGGAGGCTTCGGGCTTTTCTCATTCAAATCTTGAGATTTAGGGTTTAGGGATTTGGGGAACCACTTATTCAGCGTACCGGGCAGACTTTCAAGTCGATGAATGAACAGCCACTCCTAGACCGTAAATCCTAAATATAGCAGCTTCCATTATATTATCCTTTATCCCCATATCACCCTAGTATTACCCCAATGGGTAGCTTCGGAATCTGCCTGTTGACGCAGTACACGCACTTCATCTCTGTCCCCCTGGCCTACGACGACAAGTTTCGTCAGCTTGTCGACGGCTTTCGGGAGGACTCAAGCAGCTTTCTTGCCATGCTCTGGCGAAAACCTTCGCCAAATCAACATGAGACCTGGAAAATGGCACTTTGAATTCAAACTTGGGCTTCAGGGGTTTCCACCTTAGCTTGCTGTAAGAGGCTTCCGTGGGTAGCCTAGAGATGCAGATTCAGCAGAAATCTTGATTCGAAGGACGTCGTTTTGCAGCGTTTCCAGGGCATAGATGCGTCCATCTTCATGCCATCCCAGCAGCTGCCTCAGAGCTAATAGGGTATATATATTGGGGTTATATAGGGATAATGGAAAAGAAAATGGAAACTACTATAATGGAAAAGAAAATGGAAACTACTATAACTAGTGGGAAACGAGGGATGGATGCATATAATGGTGTCCATATAA